CTGTGCTAGGTTTGTTCATTACTGGCACCACCAGTGATGCCTTGACCCTGTGCAGCTGCTGTCACTTGTCCCTGAGAACCAGACCTCAAGGTCCCAGTGCTGTTGCCAGAGGTATACTGTGGAAGATTTCAAAAGGTCACCAGTGTGAAGAGCAGGAGCAAGACAGCTTTGTTAAAAAGCTCCAGGTTATTCTCGTGCACATTACAACTTGGAGCTTAGACTCTCATCCTCTGATGAAAAGGCTTTGGAAACTTTGTATGTTCCTCTTCCCCTCCAAAATAAGCACAGTAAATTGGTTGGAAGGCAAGTCCCCCCAGTATCTCCTCTTTGGAGAGGTGTTAGTTACATTTTGGTTATCCTCCTAACTGAAGTAGCTCTTTTTTGAGGAAAAAACAATATGCTTGAAGTGCAGGCCAGACCCACTGCTGACACTCCTCCTCAGCTCTTCTTCTCCTGTCTTTTGGAAAATATGCCTGCAGCCATCTCACACCTGACAGCTCTCACCAGGTATGGGCTAAATGGTGAAAATCAACCCAGAAGAGAACACTTCGTTTTCTTTTTTTTTACTCAGAAGAGCATGCAAAAGTAAGGGTAGAGAAGAGGAAAGCTAAACAGTTTTCTGGCATCAGCTCCCACCAGGGGGTTACCTGTAGGAACACTAATGAGTTTGGAGAGCCCACAGAAAGGCAGCAAACCAATTGCAAACTGGGCAGGATAAGCTGCTGCAGGACCAGGAACACTCTCACAGCATGCTGCCTCTCTTGTTGCTGTGACAACAAAACTCATTTGAAAGCAAAGACTTAACTTCGTTTTTTATTTCAGAATTGACTTCCAGTTATAAGACTGAAGCCCTCCCCGCCCCCCGAAAGAAAAGAAGGCAACAACTAACCAGCATCACTCAACAACTAACCAGCACCAGTCATACAAACCCAATCTGTACATTCTTATTCTCCTCCTTCCCCTGCACTCTCTTAACAAGCAGAGTGCTAGTCAATCAGTATGCTAGAAATGCACCACAGAAAGGCTCTTTCTTACTGGGTGGGTCTTAGTGCCTGTGTCAATAAAATAAACTTCATTGTACATTTGATGTATCCTGAATATATCTGCATGCAAAGCTAGTATGAATCCCAGTCTAAAGCACCATTACTGTAAGAGTCACTAAAATACTTCTTTCAAGTTTCTAAGGCCTTTCCTTAGATTTTACTACTCACTTGTTGCTTGCTTGTTACATCCTCTCCATAAACAGAGAGCAGATGATAAATAATAAATGCAGGTAAGTTTCAGCAACTCAAACTATTATGTGCATTTGTGGTTCACGCTCAAACGCTAAGAAAAACATGGCACTTCCCAGCATACAAATTAACTGAGCTGAATAGGCATACCTATTATAGGCACAGCTTTTACAGTGGAATGGGGGGACTGCTATTTGCCAGAGCCAAACTCAACCTGATCTGCATGCAGTGGTAGCAGATGTGCAGTTGTGTACATCTATCTTTATACACCTGTACATAATTCCACCAAGAGAACCTGTGCAGATTCAAGTCTCCTATAAACTGGGTAGATCACACACTGAAAACCTGGGTGGGGAGCATTGGTGTGAATGGGAGAAGCAAAAATTTCTGACATCCCTTTTCAAAGCAAGCCAGTAAACAAACGAGGGAAAACAGAGGCTGCCAAATGCAGCCAAAGTGATCATAGTGAATCCAGTTATATGCCACATGAAAAAGGACCCCACAAACATGTCACCACTGTGAGCCTGAAGGGGAAACTGGCTGCAAGTAAAAACAAAACTGACTCATCTATTTTCCTTGTCTAGGATGAGACAAAGACTATCGGAAGATAAACAGCTACAATAATTCTTGAAAAGCAAACTGATTTTATAAACCTCCCTTTTCTAGCCACATTGAGTGGAATTATCAGCCAAACAAAATTTAGTTCACTTTTGAAGCATGATTTTTAAGCTTGTGAGAACCTTCAAAATAGGAAGAGGCCACCCAAAATCAGCAAGTAGGAGACCCAGTACGGCAGATACAGATCACTACCTGAAAAATAGCTGCATATTCTAAATATTCCACCTTGCTTGCAGCACCAGGCAGGTTAGTACATGCTGGTTTCATTTAAGTAACTATCATCCTTCTGGAAATCTCACTGCAAAGTGTTTAAAGCGAACTTGAAAGCAAGAGATACATGCAAATAAACAGGATAATGTCTCCCCAACACTTGGCAGAATTTCAGAGTTGAGTCATACATTATGGCTCTGTAAATTTGGGCTTTGTGTAAGTGATAGTGTTAGATTCTACCCACTCCAGATTTAAATCACAGGGGATAAAGCTCAGACATGTAATGGTTGCTATACATCCTCCACTGTAAATGCACACTTACTGATACATCAAAGGGAGAATGTTCCTCTCTGAATGCTGGGAGAACAAATGAACATCCACATGGAAACATCGGTAGTAGATAATTGAAGAGATAAGGAGTTGAATCCCAATCCAGCAGAACAAATAGAGTGCAAGTAAACCTTGAGAAACCTTGAAAGAAGAATTGCTGGGGCTAGATGATTGCTGGATTTCAGATCTAACTGACCAAAACCACAAGCTCAGGCTGCAGATCAATGGGCTCCTTCAAAGCCATCAACATATTCTGTTCCCAAGACCATGAGGGCTGTTGTTACCATCAGCTGGAAGAGGTGGGTGGGTGTCAGCTCCGCTAAATGTGGATGGAGCCTCAGGTAGCATTCCACCAGACTAAGTTCCCTTCACTTGTATAGCATTCATCTGTACCTTTGATCATCAGCACCGAATACCTTCCCTTAATGTGGAGGGGAAGACAGAAAGGCAGCAGGCACAAGAGAGAGATAATAGAAAATAGGACAACAGCCAAGAAAATAGGGACCAAAAAGTCATATTCCATACATCCAGTCCTGCCGATGTTGGCCTCCTTCAAAGGCCCCAGATCTGGGGGCAAGCAGGGGTCAAAACTGTTCCCTCCTGACCTCCCTTCTGGTTTTTTTGGTATTGCTTGATAACAAAATAAGGGAAAATCACCACATTTAGACAAGGTAATACAGGACAACTAACTCATGCAAAACAGTTGCATCCTGGATGGTAGCCCACACACTTCAGAGATTAGCTGAAGCTCTGAACTGCAATTTGAGTAACTTCTTTTGGTGTGCCATCTGGTGAATCATTTACTGGGAATGTCTTAATCACATCAAAGGCATCTATCAGTGTGAATGGATTTTGTCAGTGTTCAGGGCTCTGTCTGTATATTGCATTCAAGGAACAGATACATTAATACAGATTTAAGCTTTACCACAGTGCTTTCTCCCATAGTAATAAAAAAATATGCAGTGTATTACCACTATAGCCTCCAGCACTGGTTTTCAGAAGAGCAGTATTTCACTAGAACATCAAAAAAGCTGCTACTCTGCAATCACTTGCTCGCATTTCTGAAAACTTGCAAAAATTGGCACACATCTGTGGAATAAAACAAAAATTTAAAATCATATTCCCCTATTGAGAAGACCCATTGGCAGCAAGCTCTAATGTCAGTTACACTGATGTAGATATAAGGTGGATATAAGGAAGAAATTTTTTACAATGAGGGTGGTGAAACATTGGAGCAGGCTGCCCAGAGAGGTGGTAGGTTCCCCATCCCTGGAAACATTCAAGGTCAGGCTGGACAGGGCGCTGAGGAACCTGATCTAGTTGAAGGCGTCCCTGCTCATTGCAGGGGGGGTGGACTAGACGACTTTTGAAGGTTCCTTCCAAGCCATACTGTTCTATGGTTCTATGACATCTGTTCCCCATACTCAAAATGCAAATCTTGTTACTACTGACTCCCCTAAATCCTGAAGCTAAATTAGGGTCATACGAAATAAATAAAAAAATAAGGCCTTCCTGGCTACTAAATATAGTTTTAAAGAACCATACACAATTATACTGCCAGAAAGCCAAGGCCAGGTTATACTTATTTTCATGTCAGCCTTGTCTTGCTGTGTAAGCACTTTCAATTGTCTTATCCTTCTGCATCTCCCCAGCATACCCCTCCACAGCTCACTGCTTTTCCATGGCCAACAGGACGCCCTCAAAGCCCCAAAGACCCCAAGACCGGGTGACCACGTCAAGACGGCTCCCCGGGAAGGCCACAGCCCTCCTCGCAGTCCCGTTTGACCCCAACGGTCCCTGACCCGCTGTATCCCGCCCGGCCCAGCTGCCTCACCAGCCCCATCCACCGGCTGTCAGCCGCCCCGGCCCCGCCCCGGCCCGCCCCGGCCTCGCCCCGCCCCGCCTCGCGGCGGCGGCAGCGTGTGTCGGCGGCGCGGCTCTCGGCCTGATTTACGGCTCTGCTGAAAACGGTTCCCCGCCGCCGCGCCGCCACGGCAACAAGTCTCGTGAGTGCCGGGGAGAGGGGCGGCGATCTTGAGGCCGTCTGAGGCCCCCGCCTAGCCAGGGCCCTGTGCCGGTCCCGCTCCGCCGCGGCAAGGCCCGGGCGGCGGCTGAGGCGAGCGAAGCCGCGTCGCGTCACCGGGGCCTTGCGGCTGGCCGTGCGTCCCCGGGCGGGCGCCTCCCCCGGCAGCGATGGCGCGATCCCGCTGAAAATCACCGGGAAAGTTTCCCAAGTTTCCCGCGGGCCTGCCGGGCAGCCGCGACCCCGGGGGGGGGCGTGGACGCGGGCTGCTTCTCCCGCCCAGGGCCCGGCGAGGAATGCAACAGACGAGCCGGGATGAAGGCAGCAGGCACCCCTGGCAGGAGCCGCTTGGCAGCGTCAGCCTCCCCTTCCGCTGCCCGCGATGCGGCGACCACACCAGGTTCAGGAGCCTCTCCTCTCTGCGGGTGCACCTGGAGTACAGCCACAGCTACGAGGAGAGAAGCCCACTGGCCAAGAGCAGCCTCTTTTTACCCCTAAAAGACGCGGAGCTGATCTCCCCGCCGGACCCTGCGCCCCAGGGCAGCCTGGGGAGCCCCGGCAGCGCCATCCAGCAAAAAGGGCCCTACCTGAGTTTTCTAGGCGATGCGTCCTGCGAGAGCACGAAGCGCGGGCAGCCTCTGGAGGTGGAAGCTGAACGGCCCGTATCCTACGTTGCAAGCTATGTGTCGCCCGACTCTCCCAGCGAGCAGATTTCTAAACCGGGTCTCCCGGCCACTGACTCCAAAACCTCCTTCGAGGCACATGTCAGAGAAAAGTTTAACAGGATGGTAGAGGCCGTGGACAAAACAATTGAGAAGCGAATCGACAAGCTTACCAAAGAGCTGGCGCAGAAGACGGCGGAGCTGCTGGAGGTGCGGGCAGCTTTTGTGCAGCTGTCCCAGAAGAAACAGGAGGTGCAGCGGCGGGAGCGGGCCCTGAGCAGGCAGGTGGACGTGGCAGTGGAGATGATCGCAGCCCTGAAGCAGCGCCTCACCGAGTCCGAGGAGGAGCTGCACCGGAAAGAGGAGTAAGTGGGGAAGTGAGAGCTGATGGCTTTGCGCGGGCTGGCCAGCACCTGTGCGAGTGAAAGCCTTCGGGGGAGAACAGAGGGAATGGTTTGGTCGCTTGCTGATTATGAAAGGGCCTGGTGCTCTCCAGCTTCTGACAGCTTTATTTCTAGAGCTGTAGCCCATGTGACCGTGTCCCCTGCAAGGCAGAACACCCTCAAAGCCCCACAGACAACAACTACCAGATGCCCCTGCAAGGCAGGGGACAGCTCCCTGAGCAGGTGGCTTTCATGCCTGACTTCCCAGTGACTTAACTTTTAGCCTCTCTAGTGCCTTTGTTGTTTCCCAGGTTTCATGGGCGTAGGGACAGGTAGAAGCTATCGTCAGCATGTAATCTGATTTACACAGACACCTCTAATCCATCTTCTTTTTAAGAAGAGCTGAGTGGATAAGTCCTGGAGGAAATATGTAAGAATACTGAATAGACCCTTCTCCCTGAAGTCATCCCTCCATGGTCAGCAAGCTGTCTGTGGTGTGGGGTGGTTTCCCATGCAGCAGCAAAGCTGTACTGGAGTCAGTGCTGAAAAGGCCATGTCCAAGTAGGTGTTTCAGATGGACCCAGAACTGTGAAACTGGAATCACTTTTATGTGAATGGGAAGCAAATGCCAGAGTCATTTGGACCAACCTAGGCCATCTAAAAATATGTTTGTGATGCATCCATTAAAAATGTAGTGATAGCTGATATATTATTTATACATGAACTACTTATTCAGCACTTGCTGAAACCTTTTGGGCTCTTCAGAGTAACACAACTTATTTTACAGGAATGCAAAAAAGAGCCTTGGTAATGGAGTGCCTCTAAACCATTTCATCAGCTTACCAAGGGAAGATGAGAAGTGCTAGTTGCCATGACGCTGATTTTCGAAGAAATAAGGAAGGTGGTGTAGGAGTTCAGTGTAGGAAGTTTGCAGGGCTTTCATAATCCCTTCCTGTAGTCTAAGGACTAGAAAGAAAAGACTGTGATGGCTCCAGTATCAGTAGGAAAGCAGAAACCATTCAATAGGGAAAAAAACACGAGTTCTGCAGTGCTGCAGAGGAAAAGGGCTCATGGAAAAAGAGGAAGGAGGAAATAGAGTTTTCTGTGTAGAAAGAATGGGTATGGTATGGGGAGGCTGACAAAGGACACTGATCTGAGAAAAGAACAAGACAGCAAAAGTTGTGATTTTATTTTTTTTTTTTAACTGTATTGGGTAAAGGCACAAGGAAGAGGTTGATTACCCCTTGGCAGTCTGCTTTCTAGCAGAAAAGACTGAACACAGAATGAAAGGAGAAGGGGGAAACACTGTCCTTCCCATTAGGACATTGCTAAACTTGGGAAAGGGGCAGGAGCTCAGATGATTGCTGTTAGAATTCTAGCCATCTCTTAAGGAGGAGTATGAATGCGTGAGCAGATGAGGAGGTAGCTCTGAAGTTGGTGTTACAGGGAAGACTGAAGGTTATTTGACTGGTAAGAAATGCTAACCAGAAGAGGCAGCTGCACAAGAGACTTCACCTGAGTACCCAGGATTACTTCTAGCTTGCTTCAGCTTCCAGTAAAGAAGATAAAAAAACTTGGCAGCAAAAGCATCAATACATACACAGTAATATGTTAATTTCTAAAGGGAAATGGGCCTAATGCGTTCTAGTGCATAGGACAAAAGAACATCAGCCCAGAGTCATAGTGTTTTGCATGTGCCCATACCTAGTCCCATAGTATTACCTCTTCTAAGAAGGTGATTTCCGCCAGCAGCAGGGAAGCGCTGGATGGTACGCAGAAGGAGGAGCAGAAGAAAGGATGATCATGACATTGGTAACAGTGGTGCACTTGTCTGGTTTTCTCATGGATGCTGGTAAATTCTGAGATCTGTTTATATATTCAGTTCATTGTGTGTTCAAAAACTTGTTTGGTGTGCTGGAAAAGCTTTCTCCTTCAAAAAAGGAGAATCCCAAATTTGGCTCTGATTTCTGGAAGAAGTCCAGATGATTAGAGAGCCAAATAAGATTGCTTAATGGAAACTGCAGAAGCAGGAGTTCTCACTGCAGATTATGGAAAGTCAAAGGCAGCCCTTAGGGACTGCTTTGATACTTGCTGACCTTCAGAAATAAATACTTTCATCAGATTTTTTGGTTCTTTTTTGCTTTTTTGCTTTTTTGTTTATTTTTTTCATATGCAATCTTGTGAATATGGGTAAGTTTTACCAAAGCTAGTATTGGTATTGAGCCACTGTAGCTGAAAATTGTTCCTCTTTCTTCTTTGGAAAAGAAAATGCTGCTTTCTCAGAAATACCTCCTTATCCAACTTTTAAGGAAATAAAGAAAAACGGCCTTCTCTTGGTCTCTCAATAATTGGCCCTACTACCAGAGATTATGGCATATGGTGCATGTGAAGGCAAGAAAGGGTTCATAATCAATATGCATTTCTAGATCTCAAAAGGGCTGAAACTCTAGATCAGTCGGGGGGAGGGGGAAGGTCAAACAAGCAAAAAAATAACACCCCTGCAAACTATCCAAAAAAGGAAAAAACTTCTAGTACAAACCTTAGATCAGGTCCAAAACCTCTTCTTTGGAGGCTTTTCTAGAGAAGAAGCTGGAAACTCTTATGGGGATCCCTTCAGATAACTTGAATAATAACAGTGTTCTGATAAAAGAAGTTGCAAATGTTTGTACTGTGCTCATATTAGCGTATTCCTCCACGTCCATCTACTCTGTCAGTGTCTTACATGAATGGACAGTCCCCATAAGTGATCAAATTATCCATAATACTGAGTTTAACAATTCAGTGTATTTTCACCTTTATAAAATGTGCCCAGAGACTTGTCTGGGCTGTTAAGCTAGGCCTGCTTCCACATGTAAGAACAAAAGAATTAACCCTATCTGGGAGGTAGAAGAGGATGTATTTGCAGGTTGAACCATTGCTCCTGACCTATAAATTGGCAGGAGGAGAGGGGGAGGCAGTTAGGATTTAAGAAACTTCCTGTTTAGAGGAATACTGTACGATAAGATGATGACAGAAAATAGTGGTACAGTTGCACTTTCAATAATGGCTCTGATTTTGGATCTGATTGTGAAGTGAAATGGGAAAGCTAAGGGAAAGGAAAAAATGTGCATTAGCAAGAATAATTTGGTTAGGAAGCCCTCAGAAGGCTTAGGGAGGATAGATCTAAATTGTTTAAACATCTGGGTTTCCTGAATATGGAGATGATGCTCTTGTGGTCCTTGCGTGTTTCCTTTGTGCCAAACTTAGTGATGTCAGACTTGGCACTCCTGTGACTGGCAGTCCTCAGCAGAGGCAGTAGATCAGAGGTCACTTTGATGTGATAGAAATTAATTTTGACCTCTCTGTTCTACCTGTAAAAGCCCATGTCCTGAGCCTTTGCCTGGACCAAGTACTGAGATAGATACATAAAAACTGTGATCTAAGTGGCCATATTGTCAGAAGCTGGTTTCTCTGGTATGTTCTTCAAAGCAAGCAGTGAGTCTTTAAGCTTACTCTACAGGGAGTAAATTCTTCTCAGTTACATTGTTGCTGCTAATGGAAGCACTAGCTTCAAATGACAGCACTATGAGATTTTACTGTTGACCTCTCATTCCATGAGTGGGAGAAGTGTTGGCTTAGGCCACCAAGCAGGTTTGGGGCTGCCCATATGAGGCATTTATTTGTAGGGTCAGTAAGGTTACTTCTTTAGACTTGTCAGTGGCTTTTTTTCTTTAAATGAAGCCCATAGCAGTCCAGCAAAGGCAGTGCTAAGTGAGCATCTCTTTTTAGCTAAATTTTATTTGTGTTCTCTTACAAAAATGGTTGTGCTAATATGCATGAAGGTATATGCTATTATATTAGTGTGATGCCCTCATGGAGATGAACTGTGTTGAGGGGTAGGACAGGTGGAGGTACAACACTAACTATAGCAGTAAATACCTAGTTGAAGTAGTATTACTCTAAGCATAGAAAAGTTTTACAGAGCCACTCTTGTGTCACTTACTCTTATATTTAAAAGTCCAAAGGCCAAAGCCTTTTTTATTTTTTTATTTTTTATTTTATTTTTTTTTTGGAGTGGATGTTGTGGAGGAAGAAAAGTGTATGTTCTAGAGAAGCAGGTACAGCTATCAAGGACAGGTCCCAGTTCCCCAACCTGCCTCAGCTGGGCCCTTGGCAGTTTTGACAAATGATGGTTACAGGGTCAAGCTCTCAGCAGAGCTGCTGAGCAAAGGAATGATCTAATTAGAAAGTGTGCCCCAAAAGGGATTATTCAGTGTTTGATGAAGGAGAATGCAACATGAGCGGGTATTGTGATGTTAAAGATAACACAGAAGCCTGCCTAAAGGGAAGAAGACTGTGCTGAATAAGATACCAAGAAAACCATTGAAACTACAACCAGCTATGAACTCAACTTCTAGAGGACACCGAAAGGCTTGTTTCTGGAGGTTATATAAGAAAATTAAACCAGTAGAGTTTGATTTTCAGCAGTCTGACCAGGGTAAGCATTTTATGTTACGGTCCTCAACTGGAACTCAGCTACAGTTGACATGGTGACTTACACAATTTCACTTTGTCTCTTTATTATAGGGTCAGAGCATTAATGTAGTACATTGCCATATCCCTGACACTAATTTCTTTAACCAGGGTAGTGCATTTGTATTAAGGATGGTCATGCATCTGGTTCTGGCATAGCCTGGAATGCAG